GCTACGTGCAATGGCTTTGCAAGATTTGGAGAATACCCCTATTTTGTTTTCAGCGCACATTTGTAAACACATACATACATATCGTCGATGCTTTTGCAAAACCGGCACTCAAATTGCGCAAGAGAACGAAAAAACGGGTTTTCTTTGAAGGCATTGCTTTGAGAGGCGGTGTTTTCTCTAGCAATTATTTAAAAAATCGGTTGCTTTAATAACGATTTTACGATTTTTATGCATACATCTTGATGCCTGGATTTCAGGGTTACCAAATCTCATTTTTGCCACAACGGCGATTTAAGGTACCATCAAACAGACGCGGTTTTGGAAGTGCGGTACAAGGCGGTACATACTATAGTCCAATACCGCGTCTGTTTGAGTGTCCCTTTAGGCGGTTTTTCAACTGGTCGATGTGCGGTTTTGCAAAAACATTGATGATATGTATGTATAGTATGTACGTACAAAATAAAATGGTATATAATAATCTATTGTCGGACTTGGCTTTTTTGGATTTATTATGGGGTAAAAAAAAAAAAAAAATTTCTCTTCATATTTTAAATTTCGCCAACGATAATTTCCACAATTTCAAAATATGTACTACTATCTAAAATTAAATCTATTTTTAAATAGACTGATAGCTAATTTATTGCAATCGCATAAAAATTGTCGAAGTTAGGCGAGTTTTCTTAAATATTGAATTTATATTGCGTATGAACCAAACTTTCAGATTTTTTGAGCAGCGTGGCTAATATTTATTCAAAATTGGTATATACAATCGCTCTTAAGAAAAAAATGGTTTTTGTAAAAATTTTAGGAAAATGGGTGGTATAGTTTTATTTTAAAAAAACTAGATTTTACACTTGAAAATCGGTGCAGCACTGGTAAATCTTAAAATATAGAAAACTATATAATTCCAATGGAAAAACGATACCATTTTGCTTTAGATGGATACATGCGAGGTAGTATTTTTACGAGCTCGCCTAGTTATTTATAACAAAAATAAATCTTCAAATGACTAACATTTTGGAATTGCAATCCAATGGCTGATGTTGTTTTTTTTTTTACAAAAAATATTGCCTTTTTATTAGTATTTGTGCGTAGAGGGCTCTGAGAAGGCAGCATTTTTCGATGGAAAAGAAAATGCCATAAAATCAAATGACTAACAAAATATAGCTGAAATGAGGCCATGAGAGCCGAAGTGGCCTGACCAAAAAATTCTTTTGGTGTACTTCCCTACTTAAAACAGTCTCAAAAGATACATTTTAAAATGAAAGTTGTTTATTCTTTAATTTTAAGGAAGTTAGGAATTCTTTAATTAAGGAACTAAAAAATTAATTTTTAAGCTTTAATTAAAAAAAAAAGAATAAGGACTAATTTGTTAAGTCTTACAATCGGGATTAACAAAAAATTATTGCACATAAAATTATCACAGGTGATTTCAATCAGATGATTTTTTTTTAATTACTGCATTCCCTAACAGCTCTGGTCTAGGGTTACATCTCTGCTTACTTGAATTTAAATAAACACTAGGGTGGTGCTATGTTCTTCTGGGTAAGGAACTAAAATTAATTTTAAACTTCGAATTCTTAACGACTTTGATTCGTCCATCACGATATACGAAATTTTATACGAAATTGCCCAAAGTTAACATCCACTGTAAGCGTTTGGGGAGTTTTTTGAATTCCTCCTATCTGCAAGCATTACTTAATTAAATAATTTTTTTTAGCCATAGTCAGTTCATGTGCTTATTGCTGCAAGTGTCGTAATCAAAAAAAATTATTGATGAAAAAAAGTTGTTTGAATTAAAAAATGAGCGCCACCTCTTTTTCTATGCTGTGTATCGTTTAATAGCTCATTAGAAGAAAATGTGTCTTAATTTTTACTTTGAGAGCGTATTTAAAATTTTAAGGCATTTTACTCGAGTTTTTGATTTTTTGGATTATGATACTCTTGCAGTAAAGTGATATGTAGTTAGTGACGTCACAGTGAGTAATGCGAAAGCAATAAACTGCAAGTTGCAAACAAATTTCAAAAAAAGCAGTAACAATTTAGAATGCATTGCGTGATCGCAACAAAGAAAATTATAACAAATGCACGTACATACATACCTAACTGCACACATGCATATGTACTTATACAATTATTTACAACTCAATATGTTCATAAAGCGCGCTGCAATGAACTGGGCCAATGAATGAGATTATAGTGCAAATCAATTAACAATTCGGTAAATATGTATGTATGTATATACATATCTATGCTGCGTTCCCTTGAATAGAGTAAATTAAAAAAATTTACAAAAAATTCAATAAAATCTTCAAATATGGCAAATAGTGTAAACAAGAACTCTTCATTGGAGTGAAAGTTAGTAGTACGCAGATGATTTATTAATTTTGTAAATATTTAAGCAAAGTTAAGAACTGTCTTTAAATGAATGAAAGTTAAATTGAAATATACCATACTTCGGCTGAAATTGCTTAAGTTCTATTTAACCATAAGCCCAAAACTCTACTATCATGCATACTGTCGAAAATTTTTTACAAAAAGAGATTACAGTTGTCATTTAAAGGTTTTATTTTAGTCAATCTACAAACATACATACGAATGTTCATATTTATCTGACAACCGATAAGATCCCTTATAAACGCTACATACATATATGCGTATACATGCATGAGCCTTTATTGCAATTCAGACAACAACAAAAACGTGTGCTACGTGATTCAGTTGTATTAGACGCGTACTTAGTAATACATACGTATGTACGCACATGTGTAAATATGCAAATTTTTCTTTGCAAACTTACAACAATGAATGTCAAAATACAGTTTAGAAACCAAATACAAAATTGCTAGAAAATATGACGCCAGAGCAAGGCAGTAAGTTTACAGAAAGAATTGATTTGTCATAAAATAAGCGATTAAAATCGATTATTACGTGTAAACTTATGTGCTTGCATACCGACATTTATCTATGGAGCTTGCATTTCTCGCTGTGTATAGTATTGAGTTATTTCTCATTTCAAAGCCCGGCTCAAGTGAAAATACAAATACATAGTCTAAAGTGGCAAACAAAGCATTTTAGCACGCAGCAAATAACTATAATGAGTTAGATTAGCACAACATGATTGTACTTGTATCCACACAGGTTGTTGACAGGCTAAGACCAACAAGAGGTTTTAGTAGTAGATGAAAATAGTTGAAAATCCGTTAAAAGCAACCTGTAAAACATCTACCAACGTTAATGAATCTGACTATACTGAGGGAAAAACAAATGTATCTTGGGCCAGCAAAATTTTACCATATGATATTACATATGTTTTCCAACTGTTTTTCTTTTTGTTGCTTTAAAACCAAAAGGTCGGTGCCAAGGCCACGAGGAGCCTTGAACTTAACATGAAATGTTCCATGGGCGTACAGTTTATTTGTGCATTCATTATTGAGTTAAGATTACAAACTTGTGCATTTGTTTGTCACACAAACGAGCGCCCTATTATTTCAAAAGGTATTGCATCACGACATTGACAGCAGTGGAGACGGTGAAGCATATTTGGTGCCACTATGATACCACGGCAGTCAGGCTGTCTTTGTTTTTAACGCTGACAATTGGAAGCACGGGGCGCCGCGCCGTTTATTACAGCGTTCACCAGAAATTCGTTATTATAACGAAAACATTGGTGTACACAAGGAATTTTATAAGGAATAAAATTTCAATAATTCCACAATCCAAAAGTTGCAAAGCAAGTTTAGCTGTATATATACATAAGTGTTTGCGAATTCACTTTTAATGCGACGTTTATCTATTTTTTAACACAAAGGGAATACATACACCAAATAAATATGTAGACCTGGAAGTTGGTGTACTATTACCCATATCAAGTATTAGCGGATCATCACTTTGCGATGCACACCCGCTTATCTTTGTACAGCTTTTCTCCAGTTCATCTACCTATGTATATACATAATTTGTGCCTATAGCATTATAATCCTATAATAAATTAGTTATTGATAAACTTACAAAACGTAATTAAGTTTGTGTTCCGACTCCCTTTCTGATTGCCGTCGCTTCACGTTCTTATTTTTGAGGCTGCTTTTCTACTTTTGGTCTGTCGCTTTTTGAAGATTTGGGTGCTATTCCACCGTCCACTTTTTGTCCACCTTCAATGCCAAAACCACCCTCTTAGCTTATTCCATACACTTTTCGTTCTTTACCAGCTGGCCCGTCGTTCTCGTATTCTCGCTTCTCCACTGGCTTTTATTTTTTCTCGTCTCGCTTTGTTTGTCGTTTTTACACACACCTTAAAAATTTGCTTTCCGCTTTGACTTGCTTTTCCTGCGCACAAACCCAAACACATATTCACATGTTTTCGTTTTCTTTATTATGATTTTTTTTTTGCGTTTTCGTTTTCGACTTTTTCGGCGAATTTAGGGAGCCCCGTGTGCGCCTGTAGGCGTTTGTAGGTCCGTGTGTGTCCCTATGAAAATCTGTCCACTACCACATGAAATGGTTTTTGCACATTCTTAATTTACAGCTGCAAATTTTGGAATTCATAACTTTTCAGTGTTTTTGAACCGATTTGGCTGCATTTTAATCTCTTTGTTTTAATTTTAATATCGACTTCGTGAATAAAACCCGTCCGTGTGAAAAATTGAAGAACTTAATACTTCTTCTTACCCAATTGGCAGTTCACAGTTCTAAATAACTCGGGCACAATAAAAATTCCATTTCATGAATAGGGACGTAGATTCTTACGTTTAACGTAGCTATTTGCAAATACATACCTAGCTCACTGTTTATTCGATAGTGAAAAATTCTTTTTTAATATTGCCTGTTTATAAAAATTGCCTGATTAATAAAAAAAAGAAAATAAACCTAATCAATACTTATTTGCGTGAATTAGTTATTTGCAAATAAAAAATTAACTCAGCGTTTATACGGCAAAGTTCGTATGTGCTATGTTGTTGTTGCATGTATGTTTCACAACATAATTAAAAAGATGTTTTCTTCACATAAATATCCCGATACACAGATATCGAGCGTACGATGGACAGTAATAGCCGTAATAGAATAACTGCATCGTCTCCAAACCCGCAGTTTTAATTTATGGTTAGCGACGGGGCCTTGAATTTATCAATTACGAAAAGAGAACGTGCAAAATTTTCTTTCAACGTTCTCTGATGTAAATAACTAGATCTAATACTGCATTTTATTTTTTTTTACGCAAACTATTCATTTATTAATTCTATAACTACGTTTAAATCAGTTTTGGTAATATTAAAACAACGCATAAAATAATTCGCGACAGGTTCACAACTATTTAGTTGCATGCTTATTCATATAAAAGTCCCTGGAAAATACCACCCCTCTTTCGTACATCAATAGGGTTTGAATATTGCACATTCTTCATTTTGTTGGCTTGATGCTCAAGTACATCTTATTTTGAATGGTTTGCTTGACAGGATTGATTTTTTTAAGTATTTGTGTCATGGTCTCCACTAGACGATCGCTGGAAACGCCAGTCTTTTTATTTTTAAACTTGGTCAGTAGTTCAGTCGGAGTCATAGGCTTGCGCATCAAGTAACGACGCACTGCCTCTTCGGTAATGCCATAATCACTGCAATTAGATAATAAGAACAAATATATTTTTAAGCGTTTGAGTAGTTAAAGACTATTTTATAGTTACGTACTCCTTATTGTTAGCATTTACAACACCGGCGAATGTAGATGGCACCATAGGAGTTGCTTCAGCTTTAGTTCGTTTCGCTGGCGTACTAACTGGACTATTACTATTCTCCGAAGCGGTAAGATCGCTTGGCATGCTATTGTTAACCTTACGTTTTGTTGCACTGTTCGTTATTGAGCTGGTAGGCGTGGCTGGACGTGAATTGTTGTTGGCTGCACTCTTGTTATTTGTATTATCCTTTGTTTTTTTCTTGCTGCCGCTACTTTCATCCTCGGAATCGCTACTATCTGAGCTGAAGTCACTGGACGAATCTAAAAGGAAATATTTGGAAATTTTAGTCTACAATAACGTCATATTTCATTAAAAAACCTTTTTTTTCGTCCTTCGTAATCTTCTTAGTTTTTTTCTTCTCCTTATTGCTTCCTTCTTCTTTATTTTTATCTTTCTCTTTATCTGATTCATCAGATTTCTTCTCTTCCTCCTCATCTTCTTCATCCGAGGTCAAAAGTTTGCGCAAAGCATCCTCTTCCGCTACAGACTTCATATCCTTGTCTAGTTTGGCTTCTGGGTCAGGTTCACTGTAAAATATTCATGACAGTAGATTTTTTCAATATAAATTTAGCAGCACGCTTACTCTTCACTGGATTCTGTATCATAATCCATTTCTCGCCCCTCCTCATCACCATCATCTGATTCTTCGAAAGCCTCATCATCTACATCTCGTTTTTTCTTCGGCTTCTTCGGTTGGCCTTTTTTGCCTTTCTTCTTGCCGCCATCATCATCGCTATCTTCTTCTTTTTTCTTCTTCTCTTCGTCCTCGTCGGAATCAGATTCATCATCTGAATCGATCCATTCATCCATTTCACTAATTTTCAACTCCTTCGCCTTTTTAGATCCTCCTTTGACTTTAACCTCCTCTGGGTCCTGCTCTTCTTCCACGTCGCCCTTCAAACGTTTACGCAACATAAGTGAAAAATAGTTCATCACTTTTTTACGTCGTCCAAACTCTTGTTCGGCTTCTTCGGCTGACAGTGATTTGTAGCGTTGTATTGGTTGAAAATTGTACCATTCATTTAAGGGATAAGCTTCAATTGCACCATCTGGTGCATGAGTGAACACATAAAAGGCTGCATTTTCACTAACGCCTCCCTCCCGAATGCCCTTAAATTTTTTGCCATTCTTACCGCCTACTTTCAGTATCCATGGCTGTGCTTCAGGTCGATATTTTTTTGCAATAATGCCAAACTTTTTTCGACGGACTTCCTCGCGAAGATCTCGATTATACTCGGAGCCAGCGCCGAATTTGGGCATATCTTCTTCCATGCCACGAAATTCTTTCATGTTATTTTCGCGTTCCATCTTTACACCGCGCCATTGGGCGAAGTCCACATTTAGTGTGGCATTAAATCGCATAACGTGATGCTTTTTTCGCATGTTTTTCGGCACACGTATATTGAATTCCTGAACGTTTGTTGGAGGGGCTGGTGCCGACGTGGATGCTGATGCACTGCTGGAACTGGCGCTGGCGGACTGATAAGCATGCTACCAGTTTATTAAGATTTGGAAAATTATTAGTTTAGTACTTACACCAGACTTTGATGTGGATGCCATTGTTGCACTGTCTCTTCAAAGGCTTCGTTTTATTTTTACAAAATTAATTATTTTTCATATACTGAGGAGAAACACGAACCAATAAATAAAAAATGCGATAAAATTCACAGTAAACAA